AAACGCAATAAGGCAGTTTCTAGATTTGACGCTATTTCTACCTTATCTCCAGATGACCATATTTCAAGGCCAGCCAATGCCACATGAATGTTCAAGATTTTATAAATCTGTTCAAAGAGGAAATAGTTTTCAGTAAGTCAAATTATTAGAATTTGTTTCTTTCATTATTACCTGTACTCCCTTGTATTATAAAAACAATTTAACTTATTATGCACATTTTAAGTAGCACAACACCTGTTTTATAAATTGATAGACTGAACTATAATTCAAAGTATTATATAGAATACTGGGTGAATTTCCACGAATTTCAATAAAGTAACTAACATGGTAAAAATGGTTTGAAAATACCTTAATTTCGGCATAGAGATAGAAATGGTAAGCATGAAAGAAAATAATAGGAAAAAAAAGGGGAAGAGTCCTGCTAGCTCGACAGGAATTATCCAAATTGAAATGAAAAGCACTGACAGAATGATACAAAGATAGGGTCTAATACTGTGGGAAAGAGCTAAAATAATAGGCACATTCCATATGACCTAGCATTCCAACTTCTTAATTATTTATGTAAAACAAATGAGAATTTATTTTTGCACCTAGGAGGTGCGCAGATTAAGTTTATACTAGTTCCAAAAATGCAGATAGAAAAATGTCCTTCAACTACTGCATGAACCACCACTAATCTAAATGGGATACTCCTTCCAGGGTCTCCCTACCAGACTAATTGACCTGGGATGTGTTCAAACGATTCAGCAAAGGAAGATGAGAACAACCCACAGTTTGTTTTTGTAGCAGCTCCAACTCAGTAATATTTAGATCTACTAATAATCATAATAGATTATAGTGAAGTTGTCCTGATTCCAATGACAAGCCATAGACGATAAATCACAGCATGACATTTTTGTTATACACAGACACAGAGTGCTGAGTTGAATACGTGCTTGGTTCCTAGATTACTGATACCCTGCTTCCTAATTTTTGTGTGACCATAGATTTTAAAATTTTTACTACTTATCATTATTGTGGTGTGTGCATGACTGTCTGTGCATTTGTGCATACATGTGAGTGTGTGTGCATGTGTGTGTATGGTGGCAACAGGTGCATATGGCAAGTACATGTGTGAAAGTCTGAGGACAACCTGGTGGCATCTGTCCTTTCCTTCTTCATTCCTGAAGATCCCAAGATTGAAATCAGGTTTCACCTTCATGGTGTGCATCAGACAACTCTCTTTATACACTGAGGCACCTCACCAGTCCCCATCAATGAGCAAGTTTTGAAATTTATCTAGATATTAAGTGTAATTTATTTAGCAAACCAATACTTCAGTGCTGACTGTTTTGAAGTGAGTTTTAACTAACTAGTTGGCCTGGTGGATTTGTGGTTTAGCTAACTTAATGTCAAGGTGATTACTACAGTCCTTTCATGTGCCTGCCCTAAAAAGTCGATTGCATTTATGTTTTCAGACTGATTCAAATTATAGCAAAACTTACCATGTTGACAAAATTGACCATTCCCCAAATTTGTTTCCTTAGCTTGGTTTGGGGTTTACTATTCTTGTGGTTTCTAGAAAACATAAATGCAGCACTTGTTATTTTCAATACTGAGAAACAGCCCAGCAAAATATTTCACTTACTATGAGATAAGAAAGAAAGAAAGAAAGAAAGAAAGAAAGAAAGAAAGAAAGAAAGAAAGAGAGCCTCTACAGCAATTCTCTTTTCAGTGAGCTAAAAACTGAACAAATTATGAAGACAGGAGACAATTATTTTCATTTTTCTTGTTCTCTTTTTTAAATTTTAAATTAGAAGTAAACTTGTTTTACATGTCAATCCCAGTTTCGTCTCCCTCCCTTTCCCCCATGCATGCCATCAACTCCCTATCCCATCCCCTTTCTGCTCCCCAGGGAGGGTGAGGTCTTCCATGGGGGATCTTCAAAGTCTGTCATATCATTTGGAGCAGGACCTAGGTAGGAACTTCCCTGTGTGTCTAGGTTAAGAGTCCCTTTATGTGGAATGGACTCCCAAAGTCCACTCATATACTAGGGATAAATAGGATAGTTTTTGAAATAAAATAACTACACATAATTGTCCCTGAAGATGTGTTTTGACTTAGCCCTACTTTCAGGTCTTCTCTTTTTAATTTGGTCATCTCCTTTTCCAATTATATTATGTTACATTACATCTGCTGCATTTTTTGTAAAAGCAACTGCTTTTTTACTCCCAAGTCACAATTATTAATATTATACAATAGCCATTACGTTGCAAAGCATCAGCCAATTTACTCCTCCTGACCCCTGAATATCTGAGGGCAACAAATCACAAAATCACAGTTAAAACAGATGCCACATTGAACCATGTACCACAGAGGAAAAGGAAGCTGGCTATCCCTTCTTTCTAAGACGAAGCTCAAAATGCCAAGTAGACATAACTGCTCTGATTTTGATTCCATTCTTGTAACTGTTTTTTTCACTAGTCATTGGAACACACACAAGGTCAATTTCCTTGCATGCTAAAAAGCAGAACCAAGAATGCTTTTCTGAATCCTGGTGGAAGTCTCTGAAATTCTTCTCTTTAGTCAACAAGTGCCTTCCTCTTAACTATACTGAGCAGTTACTCTTCATCTTTCTAGGCATCTTGCACAGATTTTACTGACCTGATTCCCTTTCAAGATGTTTCTTTACATCTTGGTTTCTACTACCATCTAGCGCTGTTTCCTTTTCTTCCTCAATATCCTTAAGTTCTAGAGGATAAACATGATTTCTAATAGTAGCTTGGAGGAATTGCGTAAAATACGCTGTAGAGAAAGAGTCTGAGGCTGTCCGCGGGACTACAGGGTTAAGGTTCGCAATACAAGGAGAGCAGAGGGGCGTGATGAGTATGAGCCTTGAGCCTTTACTTCCAACCCTTTATTCAGTGTTTGGCACTACCTGGCACTCAGACAAGAGTGTTCTTTCTCCTTGAAGTTCTTAGTTCATTGATACCAACTGTATTTGAAGTACGTATTCTTTCCCCAAACCTTTGTCACTGCCCAATACTTGGTGCCAAATTTGAGGGTAATAATATTTTCACTGATGTTTTAAATGTTTTATTCTTGAAATATGCACAATGACCTATTGCTTATTGCACACTCCATATACATTGCACAGAGTTAATGTAGCTCTTTGCTTCAACTGATAGGAAAAATATATCCCCCTTCACTGTTCTGAATTTTTCACATATTGCTATCTTATTTAACATTTCTTTATTTCTGGAAACTCAAGGATTGCCTCTCAGAGACGTCTGGCATGTGGTTATCTGCATGCACTTACCACTACTTATTCATCCTGTTTTTCATGTTCATTACCTCTTTCATAGTTTGTACTCTTTATTTCCCTGCACTCATAAGTGATTTCTTTGCTTTGTCCTTTGCTTCACAGAGTCTCTCTTCATGTGTGTTTACTCTCATTTAATTCACTCAAAGATACACACTTTTTTCTTATGGATGTTAAAGTAGTTTTTTTCAGAAAGTCCATCACTTTATATAGTCTCTCTTTCATTATTCATTTTGCTCTATTCATTTTTCATATTTCAATGACTTATCATTGGTATCATTGGCTGATTGGCAGCTCTTGGACAACTGACCTACTTTTTACTAAATTGCTTGGCTGCCTCATGAGGTCCATTTTATTGAAATGGCTTTGCTGGTAAATTTCTACTCACATTCTACTTGTTTACCACATCTCCAAATGGTTTTTATGTTGAAAGTTTTGCTTGGCATATCAGCAATTGAACACTAGGTGCTGGCATGCTTGTTGTGGAGCATCTGTGCATACCTCAGACCTGGGAACTGTCTTCCTGTGGTTGCCATTTTCCCTGTCATGGCTATAGGCACACAGTCAGGAAGTTCTCCAATCTTCCTAGGTCCTTGTAGAGATCTTTGGTAATAGGGTTGACTTCATGGTTAGAGGTACTATTGGGAAAAATTATCCCTTCCTTCATTAGAATGGTTAAGCCCTGCATTCTGTCTTCCTATATGCTCTAAATGCAGGTACACAACCTCTGAATTTTACTTCCCATTCTGATGAAGATGTTCTCCTTAACTTTTAGCATTTGAAAGTTTTCAGCGCCTTCTGTTGAGGTCAAGTCTAGATTATTGACATGTTTTCAATCTTTTATAAATTGTTCAAAACTTCTATTAGTTGCAGTAGGAAGGGTGGTTCTGTATTAATCTGTAAGATAGTGAAGAGACTCAAGAGTTTCTTATAATACATTAGTTTTGAGGAGCTGAAAGCTGATGTATGAATTGAGAATGGAACTTAGTGGAATTTCTTTCTCTCTAAATGAGAACTACAACTGTAGTTTTACAGAGAAATAAAGAGTCTAATGTCCATGTGAGAACTCACCACATAATCATCAGCAACAATGAACAGTTCAATGAATTTTTCTTGGTGGAAGCCCTAAAAGTGAACAGAAAATTCAATGAAACATATTACCAATTTAATAGGAAAAAAACCAAAATTTTCATGATGAGAAATCTTAATACTATTATCTTTGAAGGTGAATGTATCTAATATGTCTATGACCTTGTCTTATTAAAACACCTGGACCTACACATTAGATCTTTTTGTTTACTCTATATGCTCAAAATAAGAGCTATAAATTATTCCAAATTAAGTATTTTTATATTTGGGTTTCCCTTTGTTCACTTACAAAATAGCTTGTGCCTAAGCTCATGTGCTACTGGCCCATATATTTGTGTATTTACATACACCCATATATATACATATATATATATGTATACATACATGTATGTATAACTGGGAAATAACTGCTAAGAATGTCTGTATTTCTCCTACTTCTCCCCAATACTCCTACCTTTTTTTAACTGTGTGTTATTCTCAATTCCAAGAATACTTATAAACACAGCTAATTATAGACATTTCTTTTATAGGAAACACAAATACCAGGAAATTCTTCAAAGTTTTTAACTGTATGGGGCAAGTGCATGTTCTGAATAGTGCCCAGGGCCACTCTCCAAAGATCTGACTGAGTCATTCTTTGCTGAACTATGTAGTGATTTATCCATCAAGGTACTCAACAAAGACACCCCTATGGGGGTGGGAAGCTTTTCCCTTCATGGAACAAACTGGGATTTCCAGAAGAGAATAAATACTCTCTACATAGACATAAAGAAGTTTAAGTTCAGTCTTTGGACCATGAATTTCCAATTCAGAATGCAACCTGTATTTCATCGCTGTGTGCATAGACTTTTTCTTGGGAGAGTATAAAGGAAATCGTGGGTTTCTTTGGTTTGGGGGTTTTGTTTTGTTTCTTAAAGAGGATTTAGAATACTCACTTTCACTTTGTGCTCTTTTGTATTCTTAGCATCTAACGGAGCAAATTTTTTGGTAAAATTGAGCCCTGCACAGGAATAATTGGTAGCATATGGTGCCTTAGCATCATTGTATTTGAACACCATATGTTCTCCTTCATCTGAGTATTTTACTGGTTCTATGAGATACCATTGCTCATTCACTCTGAAGAAGCCCCAGTGGAAATGGGGATACAACATTATTCAAGTCTGTAGCTCCCCCAATCTGTCTTCTCAGAAAGGGACACTACCAGGATCCAAACCTCCTGGGTTGGGTGTGTTGGGTAGCAGAGCACAAGGCCTTTGACTGAGTTAGTCACCATTTCTAAGAAAAAGACAACCTGACTATTGTCCTCAGAAGCTGGTCACCATGATTTCTGCTTGGGGCACAGGTGCAAAGCAGTTATCACCCATGGTTGCCTCAAAGTTTTTGCATAGATTTGATATATTTGTCAGGTACTAACTGTAGAGTAGGTATCTAAACGTACAGATATGATCATTGGGTAGTTTTATCATGAAAGAGGGTTCTCATGAGAATTCTGAGAATCACTCAAGGACAGTCAAGACAAATGAAAACAGAACATTTTTTTCTTCAGCCTTCCATCTCTACTCACAACTATTTTTTTAATCTTTAAGTCCAAGACTTACAGAAAAATTATAAGCTTTGTTTCTGACTTTTTATTTTCTAAACCAGAATGGGCCTGGCATAGTAAAAAGAAAAATGATTGAGCTATTGTAGTGACAGAGGTACCCACAGACCTCAGAATAAGAGGACCTGCACTGCAGGAATCAGTCCAATGCTTGCAAATTCTGTGTTCTTAAGCAACAGTGGACTTTGAGCATCCTGACCTCTAATATAAGAGTACATAATAGATGGTGTACTGGAATCTACCAGCTCTGAATCCTCTATCCTGTGCTGGAGGCACCTTGTTAAGGGTTGCGTGTTAGGTACTTATTGTTGAGTGTGAACCACGGGCTAGAGTTTACATTCACTGTGGATGGCACACAGCGACCCCTTTCTGCTAAATTTTTTTGTTTTCAAGATTGGTGATAAGAAACCAGTCAAGTGGCTGTCGTGAGAATCTACAAGAAATGAGTTAGGAGGTTACACTGCCTTACCTCAGACCATTACAAGTACTGATACAAGCAGCAGAATCAAATTCATGTATGATAGATCCTTGGTAAAGACAGTGATTCTAAAACAGAAGAGTTGGTTAAGGCAGATATAAAAGCTGGGACTGTAAAAATATTGACAATCAATTTCTGTTAAGAATGAATCAATATTTCATAAGTGACACTTGCATTGAATGTATTCATGGATTCATCTAAGTAAGACATTTGAACCTGCTTTAGGGACCTTTTGTCCTAACTGAATGACTACTTTGGGGAAACCTATATATAAATTATCTCCTCATAAGTTTGTCTATTAGGCAATGAGACAAGTTTCAGATGTGACCTGTCTCTTATAAATATGGCTCTGTCTGTCCACCCTCAAATCCTCCACAAAGTTCTGTCATTTCCCCAACTGCCTGTTAAATCAAGTCAAGCTTTTGATATTTCTAAAATTAGTTCTTGCTCTCCAGCCACCCCACACCAATGCCCGTCTCTTGTTTTCTGTCCAGCTGGCTTCTTCATTAGTCCTGCTTGGTGCATTGCTCATAGTAATTCCATCGAGCAATGACTCTTCTCATCTCTTCTGTCTGCTCATCAGCCCATAGATGACACTTTCTGTGACCTTCCAAGTGCCACACGCTTGCTCCTCTGTGTTCCTTTTGTCCTCCATTTTAAGGCTACATGGTGATGTATATCTTAAAGCAGTTTAAAGTTGATTTATATAGAGGAAATAGAGTTTTGGAAGGATACTTTTGGGCAGAGGAAGTCATTCTCATTTAAGGACTATAGATAGAAAGTTCTGCAAAGGTGATGAAGGAAAAGATAGATTCTCTACCTCTAGAATAATAGTAATGATTTATGCAAAACTTTCTCCAGAGAAGAAAAAGGAGACCCTAATGCTAGTGTATCAGTAGGGCTGGACAGGTGTCACAAACCACATAAGAACTCATTCACTGTAGATACTGAAAGTTGTTTCATGTATTTAGAATTCATCCCTTTTACTTAATTAAAACCAAATCAAGATATATTATGCTTATTTTGACTCCTGCTTCAGCCTCTTTTCACTTACCACCATAGTGACTATAGAGAAGCCTTAGCAAAGAAAGATATAATACAATCTTTGATCTGCTTGCTAGGAAGTGATCAGCTTCCTGCAGGACTCAACAACTCCTAGTTTCTATTCTACCACCATTTACAAAGGGTTCTGTTTCCATTCTATCACCATTTAGTAGGTAGGAGTAGTCAACTCAGGGCTAGTTCCTTTCGAGAAGCTTTGAAACAATATGTAAATCTGGAATTGGTGTTTAAAGCACTATCAGGAAATAATGGTTTCAGAGAGGAGGCAGAGGAAGGCTTTACAAGGCTGCTTGGTGATCATCTCTCCTTTTACATTGTAGTGTGCCTCACTGTAATTTGAAGTGAGGAATTCCCTGAAAGAGAGAGGAGAAGTAATGAGATTTATTCGTCCTAATATATTACATACAAAACCAGTCATATGGTTGTGAACCCTCAAAGATGCCTTAGAATCTCAAGAAGTCCTTTCCTACATAAACATACATATACACATGTGTATGCCTATATGCACACATATACATACAAACATACATACAGTATCAAACACACTGATGGGAAACCTTTCAAAAACTGAATCACATACAATTATACATGCTGCAAAAATTCTGGAAAATGGGCAATTTTAACAAAGCAGTATTTTAATAACTTCTGAAAATAATTTGTAAAGCACTAATAGAGTTTTAACTTAGTCATGCAAGGATGGCTCAACATTTAAAACCAAAAAGTGTAAACTACACTGTGACTATTTCAAAGAATGCCTGCTCTAGATATGGCCATGTAATGTATAAATGCAATTCCTTCCATTTGTCTTCAGATTTTTCCATACACTGATTCACTTGTGCTAAGACAAAGCAATCCCCAAACACCTCTCAGTGTACTTACCAAATCTGATAAAGGAGCTCATTGACATATCTTTGTGTATTACATAAACAGAGTCATAATAAGAGACTCTTTGACATGTCAACAAGATCTAGCCACACTGATTTATAGATTTAATAAAAGTCCAACTAAAGTTTCAACAGATGGTGTCTTGAATTGTCAAGATGATCTTAAATATTCAAAGAAATGCATCCTGGCCTCCAGCATGCTATTTTTGTTTTAATGCACACACTTCATATGGGTATTGTGGGAAATAATGAAAGAACATTGAAGAAGGTCTCATAGAAACTTCTCTGTAATCATTAGCTTCCCTCCTACTAAGAATGAACAGTGATTCAAGTTTGCATCAGTGTATTAATATTCTTCACAGAGGGACAAACTGAATCTTAAAATGTTCCCAAGAATCAAAATAGGAAGAGCAAATTGGTAACCAGAGAGCAGAATCTATAGTCTTTTTGCTGCTGAGATATGATAGGCTTGTATCTTAAGAGGAAGAATTCATGAAGACTTGAGGAATTCACATTACAGAAAATCTATATAAAATGGGGATACTATATGCATCTAAGGGGATAAAATATGCCACCACAGTAGAACTTACTTTGATCTCAGCTGGGCATGGTAGTGAACAGCTGTAATCCTAGCACTAGGGAGGCAGAGGTAGGAGGATAAGGAGTTCAAGGTCATCCTCATCCAGATAGTGAATTTGAGGATAACCTGGGCTATAAGAGACTCTACTGAAACAAAACAAAGAATTTTACCTTGATTTCAGAAGGTGAAGGATTAAAGTTTTTCTGCCCAATCTTATTTCATATAACATTTCTTCTTCATATATTTCCTGGAAGACAAGATTGTCCCTGTGACTTCCAAATCTATTTACTGTAAGAGGGTGGATAGAGTGTGGTTCAGGGACCATTACCCACCTACAGCTCCCCACAGTAACTTCAGAAAAGAAATACTGACAAAGGTGAACTTAAAGAGAGACAGAATTATAAGGATGATTTTACCAATTATATTTTAGTTAAAAAGAAATTTCTACTAAGGAAATAAAATGGATAATGTATATTCACCCCTCATTCAGGAATGAACAAATTACTTCAGATTTACTTATATAACTTACATTAACTTGTTTTTATAAAAGACCTTTCCTTTTGTGTTTTACAAACAATTTTGTTTCTGTGGGTTTCTCCAGCACAGCTTGGCTCCTTTGCTTTTCCCTTCTCCCTCTCTACAATTAGATTCCAAAAGTATGGCTCAGTGTTTAGTTGACCTGACCTAGTGAAAGCACAAAGACCTCAGTCATAACGCTGAAGAGCCAAAGTATGCCCTGATGATTCTCTTGATTTCCTCAGAGTCCGTTGTTATGTCCCCTTTCTCATCCCTGATTTTGTTAATTAGCATGTTCTCTCTCTGTCTTTTGGTTAGTTTGGACAGAGGTTTGTCTATTTTGTTGATTTTCTCAAAGAACCAACTCTTTGTTTCATTGATTCTTCTCAATGTTTTCCTGGTTTCTACTTGATTGATTTCAGCCCTCAATTTGATTATTTCCTGGCGTCTGCTCCTCCTGGGGGAGTTTGCTTCTTTTTGTTCTAGAACATTCAGCTGTGCTATTAATTCTCTAGTATGACTGTTCTCCAGTTTTTTCATGTGGGCACTTAGTGCTATAAACTTTCCTCTCAGCACTGCTTTCAAAGTGTCCCATAAGTCTCCAAAGCACCAAAGGATCCACTTGAAAGGTGGGGTACAGAGCTAAATAGAGAATTCTCAGTAGAGGAGGCTAAAATGGCCAAGAGACACTTAAGAAAGTGCTCAACATCCTTAGCCATCAGGGAAATGCAAATCAAAACAACTCTGAGATACCATCTTACTCCTGTCAGAATGGCTAGAATCAAAAACACCGAAGACAATTTATGCTGGAGAGGATGTGGAGAAAGAGGATCACTCCTCCATTGCTGGTGGGAATGCCGACTCATACAGCCTCTTTGGAAATCAGTATGGAGATTCCTCAGGAAAATGGGAATTAATCTACCACTAGACCCAGCAATTCCACTCTTAGGCATTTATCCAAATGAGGCAGGTTCATATAACAAGGGCATCTGCTCCACTATGTTCATAGCAGCATTGTTTGTAATAGCCAGAACCTGGAAGCAACCTAGATGCCCCTCAACTGAAGAGTGGATAGAGAAAATGTGGTACATTTACACAATGGAGTATTACTCAGCAGAAAAAAACAATGGAATCTTGAAATTCGCAGGGAAATGGATAGCACTGGAAGAAACCATCCTGAGTGAGGTAACCCAGTCGCAAAAAGACAAACATGGTATGTACTCACTCATATATGGATTTTAAATATGGATCAGGACAGTGCCAGTCTGCACTTCCACAGATAGAGAGTCTGGGAAACAGGAAAGAACCTAAAAGATATGCATATATGCATAGTACCCAAGAGAAGAGGATGGAGACAAGATCCTCTGAATGGATGGGGAACAGGGCGAGGGGGGTAGTGGGACCTGGGAAGAGTAGAGGGGTAAAGAGGAAGGGAGTTGGTCATGGGGGAACAGGAAGTTGAGGGGGTGGGGGTAAAATAGGGGGAAGAGGGAATCATAGGATCGAAGACAGATCAGGCACCAGAGTGACCTCGAGTGATCTAAAGGTATAACATCAATTGGCAAGCTAAGCAATAGTGGAAGGACCACCTCGAATGCCCATTCCTGATAATGAACTTGATGTCTATAACTATCCGGGAGCCTTCATCCTGGGACTGATGGAAGCAGAGGCAAACACACAACTAAGCACTGAACTGAACCCAAGGAACCCAGTGACAGAGAGAGAGGAGTGATGAGCAAATTGGCAAGGAATGGGCTGGCAAAACCAGCAGAGACGGCTGATCTGAACAGGGAGTGCTCTTGGACCCCAGACCGACAGTGGGGAGGCCAGAATGGGACTGATCTGGACCCCCAAATGTGAGTGTCAGTGAGAAGGCCTGGGCAACCTATGGGGCTCTGAGCTGTGGATCAGTGTCTATCCCTGGTATACAATCTGTCTTCATGTGCCTATGGCACAAAGAGAGATGCTCTCTCAGCCTGGACTCTTAGGGGAGTGCCTTGACCCTACCAAGAGTGAAATGATAGACTCTAGACATCCCCTATGTGGAGGGACTTGGCAATAGGGTGGGAGGGAGGGTGGAAGGGGAGTGCGGGAGGAGGGGAGGGAGAGGGAACTGGGATTGACATGTGAAACAAGCTATTTAAAATTAAAATAAAAAATGATTAAAAAAAAAAAAAAAAAAAAGGTGTTTTGTCCATTGGCCAGGCACAATATAGCTAGGCAGGAAATCCAGACAAAATTACAGAGAGAAAGAAGGCAGAGTTGGGGAGATGCCATGTAGCCACCGAAGGAGGAACATGATAGCCATAGACTCATAGCAAGACAAGGTTAATAGAAATGGGTTAATTTCTAAGAGAGAGCTAGTCAGCAATATGTCTGAACCATTGGCCAAACAATTGTAATTGATATTAACCCTTATACTGTTACTTCACAATCAGCTGTAGGATGCAGTGGGCAGGAGAGAAACCAGTTCAGTGTGACTGGGCAATACAGAGAAAAACATCCAACAACAATCAACATCAGTAAAGCATCATGGGTCCTACTGGATTAATTTATATTGCAGAAAAAACACCATTTATCTTATTATTCATATTGTACCATGTTTTCTCTTGGGGGTGCTGTAAGTTAGTGTCTAATCTCTTTTGATATATCCCAACCAATACAGATATGGAACTGGGGGCATGTCTTTTGTTGCAGGAGAAAACTTTTTAGCTCCAGGTTCACCCCAAGAATTACCTCCCTGGCCCAGGCTAATTTTACACAGAGTAGAGCTTATGATATAAAGGTTGACTGTAATAGGACATAAGACAATAGCTTCCACACAGTGGATGGTAGGAAGCACTTCTCCCCTTGGCTATGTATCAATATTTTAACTACATAGAGGTTTGAGAAGATGAGGAAATAGTTGAAGATAAAAATTATATTTGTGAAAAACCTTCTTAGAGAAAAATAGCACAACAGAAGGAAGAGAGCAGAGAGCTGCCTCTGCATAGATGAAGTTACGAGATCATGTGAAAAGCTGAAATAGAGTTTTCTAATGACTAAGAAGTCTAACAAGTGAGGGCAGGAAAAACTGCTGCCACCATGGGAAAGGTACGAAAAGTCATGGCACTAAGAGAGGTTTGCACTATGTCGTAGTCAGGACAGAAGACCTGTCAGTATTCCCATGGTGTCTGAGGGTTCACTCCATGGTCCTTTGGCTTCCATTGACTCTGGAACCACCATGAGACTGACACATCATGGCAGGAAACATGTGGAAGAGTACAGCAGCTCACTTGTGAGTTTCAGAAAGGAGAAATGAAGACAGCAAGGAACCAGGGCAGGGACAAGATTAACTTTATAGTCACACTCCTTTATAGGCCCCACTTCCTCCAAACAGGCCCTTCCCAAAACACCATCCAATAATGCCATCGAGTTAAAAATCCATAACTGGGTTAAGTCACTCACCAGATCAGAGCTATCATGTTCTAGTCTATCCTTAGCAGCTGGATCTACCAGTTGAGGTTCAATCCTTCATCCATGATAGTTGAAGTGCATGAGCCTTGGAGGGACACTCCATATCGAAAGCAGATACTACATATATAAGTAGTGAGACTTTACAAAGTGTCCAATTACCTCCTTGTAAACAGTAATCTGCTTGTGGAGAACATGGACTGCATTCTAGGAATTTGCTTTCAACCACATCTAATCACTATTTCCTCCTGAGGCACTGGTCATTTTTGTAAACCTCCTGTCAAATTCAGACCTTCAGTCTTGGTCTTCAAATGTTATGACATTTGAATAGAAGGCCTCTGGGAGATAATTAGATTGAGAGGAGGTTGTAAATGTGAGGCCTTCATAATAAAATTAATGATTTTATACGTCACAAAGGAGCTTATCTCCTACGCTACAAATGTACCAAGAAGAGGACATGTGAAATCAGAACAAAATGGCGGGAGCTTCCAACCTAAGAGAAGACCTTATTGAAACCTACCTTGCAGACCTTTAGAACTTGGATCTCTCAGCTTCCAGAACTGTGAAGAAAAATTTCTGTTGTTCAAGTGAAACAATCCATAATATTTTATTACAACAGTACAAGACAGATAAGACTTATAGTAGTACAGATTCTTTTTTCTTGATTTTGAGCTTTATTTAACATTTTTTATGGATTCTTTGTTTCAGGGCTTTACTCTGAAATGATGAGGAATTCATTCATACTACCAGAATGAGGAAATGCTTTTCGACACCTAGCTTTCTGGGATGATTTTCTCTTGTGTTTTGGTTTTCTGTTTGCTTGTTTTCCTATGAATAGTACTGAGAATTTTTTTTGATCTGGAAGAAACATTATGCAAGATTTTCTGAAGCTCCATTTTCCTAAGAGTATATAGAATGGAACAGTTAATTTTCAGGTGTTACTATACTCTCACATATAGAATAAAATTAGTTTAATTGAAATATATTCACTTTTTTGTTTTTTTTTATGAGACAGGGTTTCTCTGTATTGTTTTGGAGGCTGTGGGTCCAGCCTGGCCTCGAACTCACAGAGATCCGCCTTCACTTTTTTTCTACATTTTACATTTTTCTACATTTTATAATTATATTTGTTATAAATACTAGGATACAATGGCCTTATTAACTTCAAGCTTCAATGATATTAGAGAATTTTCTTGAAGTCTTTAGGATCTCTTATATACATAAAACATTTTTTTAAAAGTTCGAATAGAAGTGCATTACAGAAAAATGCTGATCCCAGAAGATAAACTATTATAAAATCGAAATCTCAGTTTCATGGTCAATAATCACAGTCAGGGAAACCATAGGAAAAGGGAGAAACTATTGATGCTGGTCTATAAAACAGTTGACAAACTGCCTTCTAAATATTTATGGTTTTGTCTATAGATTTGTGATTCTCAACCTTAATCAGAGAAGTTTCTTTTTGTAGTAGGTAATAGTCAATGCAAAGATTCATAACTGTTCAAAGTACTGAGAATAAGCGCTATGAGTGCTCATGCACATATCTATAGGCTCAGTGAATATCATGAGTGAGAGGGTAGAAATAATGTAAGAGCTGAGAATAGAGAGGAGTGAGGCAAAATGCTGCTCTCTGTATATTACATGTCCATTGAACACATGAACTGTTGCTGTGGTTACTTGCACAAAGCATGCACAAGATCAGTTGGGAGGGAAATGTATTTGGAATAAGAAGAGACAGCTGGGGGGAGATACGATCAAGAAACATTGTTAGATATATGAAATTTTCAAAGACTATTTAATTATAAGTAGATACACAGAACTTTATATACTTGTTCAATAAGCTATAGTGAGAAATTTATTGAACTCCAGCCATCGTTTTCAATTTGTCAATTTTTTATTTATTTCTTCTCATTTTTTAAACTATTCTTTTATTTAGCGTTCACAAACATTTATTTATACGAAATTCAAGTCTCATATGATACAGTCTTTTTACATAATAGTTTAAACTGACTTGGCTTATGAGAAACCCATCTGGGGCCAGTCCTTCTCCCCAAACAGGCTAGAGCAATCCAGAGACCTGGCAAGGCCAGGAGAGGAAGCAGGCAGTGGGAGCATGGCAGAGCTTTCTGACTTTAGGCAAGGCAGCAGATCTCATCCTGGAGCTGGGGCCTCAGCCTCTGCCTGCTTCCCTTGCTAACTAATGAGGGAAGAGATAAGCAGGCAGGAGGGTTTCTGTGACAGCTGCAGCAGTCACACAAGGCTATTTGCACACCCAGAGACACCCAAAACACCTTAGAGATGTGGCCCATCACAGGTTGGTGACAAGTGAGGTCTCCCCCAGAAAAGGAGTAGGCCAGGAATAAGTGACAACATTGCAATAAGGTCTTTTTGTCTGATGTCGAATGTTCAGATGATTGGCTCTCAGCAGTTGCCAGTCCTGGGGAAATACTTGCAGCCTGACTTTTCAATGGAAGGGGACAAACTTGAGTAGCTCAAAACAACTTCAGGTCAAACTATGTGAACAGGAGCAATCACATTGATCACAGAACAGAACTTGTGCCACAGATATGTCTCAGAGGCCATTGAACCTGAGTAAACCTGAAGCATCACTGGACCTTGCAAAGTAAAGAGTAGGAGGTCATAGGGTGCCCTCAAGGGGGAAGCCAAGACTCCACCCATGTAAGTTGAGACTGGATCCTCTGGCAGATTCAGTGTGACTGGAAAAGGGCTTTGGTTTTTGTTTGTTTGTTTGTTTGTTTTGAGACAGAATTTGTCAGTTTATCCTTGACTGCTCTGGAACTCACCCTGTAAATCAGGCTGGCCTCGAACTCATAGAAATCCACCTGCTTCTGCTTCCCGAGTGCTGGGATTACAAGCATGTGCCACTAATATTTGGCATGGATTTGTCCAATTTTCAAAGCAACCTAGATGCCCCTCAACTGAAGAGTGGATAGAGAAAATGTGGTACATTTACACAATGGAGTATTACTCAGCAGAAAAAAAAACAATGGAATCTTGAAATTCGCAGGAAAATGGATAGCACTGGAAGAAACCATCCTGAGTGAGGTAACCCAGTCACAAAAAGACAAACATGGTACACAACTAAGCACTGAACTGAACCCAAGGAACCCAGTGACAGAGAGAGAGGATTGATGAGCAAATTGGCAAAGAATGGGCTGGAAAAACCAGCAGAGACAGCTGATCTGAACAGGGGAGTGCTCTTGGACCCCAGACCGACAGTGGGGAGGCCAGAATGGGACTGATCTGGACCCCCCAAATGTGAGTGTCAGTGAGAAGGCCTGGACAACCTATGGGGCTCTGAGCTGTGGATCAGTGTCTATCCCTGGTATACAATCTGTCTTCATGTGCCTATAGCACAAAGAGAGATGCTCTCTCAGCCTGGACTCTTAGGGGAGTGCCTTGACCCTACCAAGAGTAAAATGATAGACTCTAGACATCCCCTATGTGGAAGGATTTGGCAATAGGGTGGGAGGGAGGGTGGAAGGGGAGTGCGGGAGGAGGGGAGGGAGAGGGAACTGGGATTGACATGTAAAACAAGCTATTTAAAATTTTAAAAAAGTATAATGTAAAAAAGAAAAAAGAAAAAAAAAGAATGCATGAAATCTCTCAATTAAATCAAATCATTGGAAACAGAATTCAACTACATATGAAAATGATCATTTACCATAAGCAACTGGGCTTCATCCATACATGCAATACAAAAAATTTAACAGACTAGAAACCACATGATCACATCAATCAAGGTAAATAAAGCATTTGATGAAGTCTAACATCCTATGGTACTTAGAATGTAATTGACCCTCATAATTTCACAGGGAGTGGCACTATTAGTCGGTGTGACTTTCTTGGAGTGGGTATAGCCTTATTGGAGCAAGTGTGTCACTGTGGGGGCAGGCTATGAAGTCTCCTATGCCCAGTATACTGCCCAATGTCTCATTCAATTTTCTGTTGCAAAGCCAGTGCACCTAGAGGGGTTGCTATAGCTCATCCCGAAACTTGGGGTCTACAAAACAACAGCCAGAACTCTCTTGTCTTTATATATTATGCATTTTGTGTCAGCTCATTCAAACTGTTGTCTGTGAAATTCAAACCAAGAAAAAATTCATGGTTTCTCTTTTAACCTTTAACTTAAGAGAGGGATAGTGAAGTCCCACCTGCCAACTCACCAGCTGCACTACAGACTGTGCCATTTGACTGCGAGTGAGTCTGGTGCCTGGAGATGCAGTTCCTTCAGCAGCACACCCCCTGAAAGCCAACTGGAACTCCAGACAACATCCCAGCTTAAGCTCACCAGGTTATCTGGCTGTCACTTTTGCTCTCAATGCAATCATTCCACCTGCCCCTGGGGAGACTTTTTCCTCAGGGGTAAGAATTTGCTTTTAGCCTCGGGGAAGAAAGCACTTTGTAGAAATTCCATAAGATTATGCCTTTAAAGTGTTTTATTAGCACTGAAGATGTTTTTTGTTGTGGTCTTTCATTACAGTTTAACAAGTGCTAGACACCAATACAAACTTACATATTCTGCTCCCCTTTTTCTTCACAAAAGCTTATTGAGACATTGGTGGCCCAAGTCTTTAATCCCAGCACTCGGGGAGGCAGAGGCAGGCAGATCTCTGTGAGTTTGAGGCCAGCCTCGTCTACAGAGGGAGTTCCAGGATAGCCTCCAAAACAATACAGAGAAATCCTGTCTCAAAAAACCAAAAAAAAAGGTTATTGAGTAGTGAGTTACCAGAGATGAGAGCATCCACTCTCCCATTGCACAGGTGCTAGCGTAAGTCGGGTAACATGGTACTGAGGAAAAGAAACACTGCCTTTTGTACAAGGACCAAGAAAAAGTCTCTTTTTGCCACAAGTACAGACCTGATGTGCAAAGAACATGTGTAGTCCCATTATTCAGACACAATAAATGTACACTTAACTTGAGTTTAATGACTCTTAACACTAGGGGTTGGAGGGTGTTTTTGGGAGCAGACAGGGTCTCACTATACAGCCAGAGTTGGTCTGAGACTTGTGACCTTCACTGCTCCACCTCCCATAAGCATAGACTGCTGGTGTATGTCACCATGACTACTCACACAATAAATATCCTGCCTCAGGCATGGCAACATCTGCTGGCAGAAACTTACCAGGCAGCTTTCATGCATCAGCACTGTGCTGGTTTAGTGTATTATTCCTTCTACTCTAAGGCATGTTTCAGTTGCTTCTATTCATAACTCTCACATTTATACATTAACATTTAATAATTGCTTATCTGAAATAATGGCTTAGGTTAATTACCTCAAAAAAGTTGTCCCTTAACAACTCCTCCTTTAAAAGGGGTGGGAAGCAGGGAGAGAAAGGTAAATTTAAATTCTAATTACTGAAGACGAGTATCAAGGCATTTTGGGTTTTGTACAAAGTCAAGGACTTCAGGTAATAATCAGCCTCAGGGAACACTAGCCAGCTTTGCTTTTAGCCTCGAGGTCATTAAACTGCTCAGATATGTGTGAAACTGAGGTTATTTTGAGTCAGAGCTCCACTGTAGTGCAGGCTCGCTTGAACACTTGGCCACCCTCCTGACTCATGCTCTGGACATTTCGGATTACAGGTTTCCAGGCGTGCTCTCCTAGGGTGTTTATGCCTCATGGGCAAGTTGCAAGGCTCACGAACCTGGCCACCCTAGGACCCTGCAGGGCAGGGTAGGCAAGGTGACAGCAGGTGAGCTAGGCGAGGATGAGGAAGTGAGTCTGGCACCTTGCAGGCCATTACTCATGCTGCTTTCCTGAGAGCAGAATTTCTAGCCTCCTTCTGTGTCCAGCTGAAGTTCAACCCAACTGCTGTCACTTCCTGTCCGGGTAGGCTGGGGAAACCCGAGCGTCTGTGGGAGGGGAGGTAGTTAGACAGAACGACCAGGTAGCTCGCCGCGCGTGCATGTTGTCCACGTCCCTGGCGCGCACGCGCGGGTCGCAGCACCAACAGCTGGAGAGCCCCGGATCCGAGGAGTGCGCACATGTCCGCGGGGGTCTGCGCGGGTGTGGCCCATGCCAACAGCTCCACCTGGTCCAGGTGGCTACCCTGTTGCCTCCTGGCCCTGTCCCCAGGGTGTCAGCACCCTCCTCTGTCACCCCACCACACCTCAGCAAAACTTTCCCCTCGCCTCCCCAATTGAAACTCCGCTGCGTCGAAGCTGCCGCAAACCGCCCTGGCCCTAGCCAACAAGGTTCTGGCCATCCCTGCAGCACAGCTAGGAGTTAGGAAGGTGATGTCCTAAAGCCGTGAGTGTCCTAAACCAGGTGCGGCGGGGGGGAGGGGCCGGAGGTTGTGAGCAGGGGGAGGAGGTGACTGGAGCATTTAGACACAAGCGAGAGGATCAAGGCGGATGGCCCCAGGTGTAAGCGCAGAAAGCAGGCGAATCCTCTGCGCAATAAAGGTGAGTAATGGAGGGGCGCGGCGCGGGCGCGGGGCCGAGTGGAGTGGGAAAGTAAAGTAGTGCGCCTCCCTCCCCCCGCCGTCCTGGACCGTTACGTCTCACCCGCCTCTGCGCCTAGTGGCTCGCGGGGCCGCGGGGACCGTTAGCCGCGCCGCATCCCGCCGCCGCGCCGGCCACTTTTCCGTCCGCGGGTGGAGCTCCTGTTGCTTTTATCTGCACTTTCTCCACTCTTGCCGCCCCTCGGCGTCTCCCCGCGCCCGATCCTCCCTCCGCGCAGGCCGCGGCGGCGGGGAACGAACTTGGGGCGGGCGGGCTGCGGGCGGGCGCGGGCTGCGGGCCGGGCGCGGGCTGCGGGCCGGGCGCGGGCTGCGGGGCGGGCGCGGGCTGCGGGGCGGGCGCGGGCTGCGGGGCGGGCGCGGGCTGCGGGGCGGGCGCGGGCGGGAGAGGACCGGCAGCCGCGGGCCAGTTGCGTGTCGGCCGTTCGGCGCGTGTGCGCGGGAGCGCCCGCGGTAAAGTTGCGCCGTGCGCGCTCGCGGGCGGGAAGGTGGGGATGGGGACGCGCGGGACCGCCGCTACCTGGGCGCTCGCGGGGCTGGAGCTCCGCGCGTGCGGTGACCTTCGGGGGCTGAGCAGGGTCGGGCGGCCTCGAGCTGCTGCCGTGGGGCGAGCGTGTGCTGGACTCGCCGCCTGCTGCTCGCAGCCGGGAAGCAACACCGACTGGTCTGGAAGCCCGGGCAGCCCGAGTCCCCGCGGGCACGGGAGAGTGTGGATGCGCCTTGCTTTGACCCTTTCCGTTTGGGGAAGTTGTTACCTGGGCCGGACTCGCGAGCCCAGGGCAGATAATGGAGTCCAGGGCAGATAATGGAGTTGGGCTGGCGCTCGGGGTCGCGAGTGGGGGCGGGTGGGGGAGGGGATGGACGGGGCTGAGGCTGGCTGTGCAAGCTGCGCGGGGTATTGATTTGCTCGGATGTGCCAGGGAAATACTCCTTGGCCTGGCTGCAGAGTTTTGTTGTTGTTAGTCGTGGTGGTTTTTTTGTTTTTGTTTTTAAGAAAGAGGGAAAGCCACAGGCACCAGGAGAGAGCGCGACATGCCGACCTCTATTGGTGGGTGCATCGTGGGCTCTCCCAGCGTGGGGAGACAGAGTTGCTGGATGGTGCCTCTCCTAGGCCAGTGTGTGTTCTAGGCTCATGGCCCGGACAGCCATCTGCTCTTGGTCATTGTCTGGACAGTCCCTGTGGTGGCAGCAGCCGGTGGGATGTGTACCTGTGTGTGGTGATGGGCAGCCACAGCCATGTGCTGCTGTGGTGACTGCTATATAAGCAGGGCGTTAAACGACAAGGGAGGGAAATGAATTCCAAATTAGTTGGGGTTTTGTTGTTTGTTTGTTTGTTTGTTTATTCATTTATTGAGACAGGGTTTCTCTGTGTATCCCTAGCTGTCCTGGAACTTACTCTGTAGACCAGGCTGGCCTCCAGCTCAGAGACCCACCTGCTTTTGCCTCCTGAGTGCTAGGATTAAGGTATACACCACCACGGCCCAGCCCAATTAATTTTAGTTTGTATTTCCCTGATAGATAAGAATGTGGTACACATTTTCAAATACTTATTGGCAATTCGCATTTATTTTTTGGAGCTCTCTGCAAGCTCCAAAAGCTATAGAGACAACTGTGGGCTTAAGGTTTGTGAGTTGCCACCAGTACTGGGCTGGGCTTTTTGGTGATCCCTACTCCTATAAAGATCCCTCCCCAACACTTCTGTTAGTATCCCCAATAAAAGCCCCTCGAATTACCAAGTTGGACTTTGCTACAATCATTACTTTGGTCTGATGAAGGTGCTTTTTCTTGAGTGCATGGACATGTGTTGTATCGCCCCAGAAAGGTCTGTTATGTAATAGATACGTATGTTCCTTCAATTCCTAGTGCTTTCCAAGATTTTATCATGAGAGGATCTGAACTTGTAGACATCTTGCCCTGCATCAGTTGAAATGATTCTATGTTTTCTTTCAGTATTTTTTCCTTTGAGACAGGATCTCATGCAGCCCACACTGGCCTCACACTTGCTATGTAGCCGAGGAAATCATTAAACTCTGGATCCTCCTGCTGCTACCAGGAGGTAGCTGTGATCATAGGTGCACACCATCTTGTCTGATGACTTGGGCATGTACTTTCTGTCCTGAAGTCTATTTATGTGCCGAACTCTTCTTAGTGATTTTTGTATGTCCAACTATCCTTGCACGGCTGGAAGGAAACCAACTTTGTTTCTTTCTCTTTTTTTGGTTTTATGAGACAGAGTTTTTCTGTATTGTTTTGGAGGCTGTCGGTCCAGCCTGGCCTGGAACTCACAGAGATCTGCCTGCCTTTAATCCCAGCACTCAGCAGGCAGATCAAGAAGAGTGAAAACCCTTCTTGAAGGAGGTGGATATCTAAGAAAAGAGGTACCATTAATCAAGAAATCTATTTGAGGGCTTCTAGTTACTTACCACTGAACATATTTTAGTTTCTTGAGGGCAAGGATAGCTTGTTGATCTACCCTCAGCAACAGAACACTTCCCAGAAAGTAGTGGGCGCTCAATTGCTGTTTAGAAAGTGAAAGAACTGAAAAAGAAACCAAATAAATGTGTAGAAGTGAAGAACGCTTGGCCAGCCTGCAGTTCCTTCCCGACGCAGTAGGTGGCGCCATGGCTATCACAGCCTGACTGCCTGCTCTTCTTGGCCCTTCCCCGCTGACCTTCTAACCCTAGGTCCCTGAAGGCGTTTGCTGAAATTAGCCAATAGAAAACTACTTTAGTTAAGAGGTCTGACAAAGACACCCAGTAAAATCAGCGTTTCTAGAAAATGGGTGGTGCGAAGGGAGGGGCTGAGGGGAGTGGTTAGAGTGGGAGTTGGTGCTGCTGGAGGGCGGGGACTGAGGGCTGCGATGTGGACTGGGCCTTGGAGGTGACTGGAGGTGCTGCCCGACATGAACTCGTGGAGCAGGCAGAAGGTGGAGTGTGTTGCCGCCCTTCCCCGAGGCAGGCCAGGGAGGGCAGGCCAAGGAGGGCGCCTCGTTCTCCTGGCTCGGGCTGGGGCCCTTCTCATTGTGTAGTCCTTAGTGTTGTGGACTGTGGATCTGTTTTCTTTTTCTTTTTTTCTTTTTTGTTTTTTTAAAGTCTGACAGCCCCTAGAGCCAGAACCCTAATTTCTTCCTCGGCTTCCAGTAATTGCCCGGGTTCCCACATGCTCTTGGCCTTCACTGTGGAAATAGCACCCACTTCATTCAGAGGTACGCCCTGTCACGGCACAAGGGTAGGTGCTGTGCTGCTGCCTGCACGGTCACTGGTAGCCCATATCAAGGAGGGCAGGGAGTATCTTTGCACAGCCTGTTATCTGTCCACGGAAGTCTAGTAAGCCCATGCTACATAACCATCAATTAATAATAACTAGAGCCTGAATTGCATAATTGCAGTCAAGTAGAATTGGTTCCACAGAATTAGAATTCAGCCAGGTTTTGGTCCTTTTGTCTGCAACTCCCCCAATTCCAGCTTATGGCTCTGAATGGTCTTCCACTACCATTTTTTCAAGCTTCTAAAAGTAGACCAACTGGTTTCCATAAATTGGAATTAAAGAACAGTGATGTTTTTGTTGTTTACTTAAAACTGTCATCATAAGCCAACAATGCACGACACGTGGTTTGATGTGTAAGACCCGTAGCAGTTATCCACCTAAATTTCACTTTAGTAAGTTCAGACTGGCAAGCACAGGTAGAGAACTGAACTCTCTTTGTCTAGATCTCAAGGCTTTTGAAAGAAGACTTACTGAGTATATTCATTGCTTACAACCTGCCACTGGACGCTGGAGAAGTAAGTTGTCAATTGCTTTCTAAGGGAAAATGCAGTGCAGCTGATAACTTGATTCCTAAGTGGGAATGACTTCCTTTCATTTAATAATTTGGACTGAGAAAGCATGTTTTATTCAGCCATAAGATTTCTGTGTTTAGACAACTTTTAAATGTGTTACTTGACACTGTCAACAATGTATTACAAAGAAGTCCTTAAGAAAAGGAAATTATGGGCTAGCAAGATGTCTGGGTGCTTGCAGTAGACATTAGACCTAGTTTCATCCTCAGAAGCCATTTAAATGGGGAAGGGGCCGATGGACTCCACAGAGTTTTCTGACCTGTGCATTTGTGCAATTGCATGCATTCCTATACATATCATGTACACACACACACACACGATACATAATTTTTTTTGAGACAGGGTTTCTCTGTAGCTTTGGAGGCAGTCCAGAACTAACTCTGTAGACCAGGCTGTTCTCAGACTCACACAGATCCACCGACCTCTGCCTCCAGAGCACTGGGATTAAAGGCATCATGCACCATCACTGCCTGGCAACAGACTATTTTATATGGTTATATTTATCTTTTCTTTTTTATCATGTATACACGTGCCAGAAGAGGACACCAGATCTCATTATGGATGGTTGTGAACCACCATGTGGTTGCTGGGAGTTGAACTCAGGACCTCTGGAGGAGCAGCCAGTGCACTTAAGTCATGAGCCATTTCCCTAGCTCTTTTTTGTTTGCTTGTTTGTTTTGCTTTGTTTTGTTTTTTGAAGCAGGATTTCTCTATGTATCAGCCTGGCTGTCCTGGAACTAACTTTGTAGATCAGGCTGGCCTCAAACTCACAGATATCCACCTGCCTCTGCCTCCTGAATAATGAGATTAAAAGGTGTGTGCCACCACTGCCTGCCTGAATTTTGATTTTTCTATGAAAATACATACATATTTTAACATTTTAAAGTATATCAGTGTTTTGTCTACATATATGTACTTACAGCCTGGTGCCTGCAGAGTCCAGAAGAGGGCGCCATATACCCTGGAACTGGAGTTGCTAGGCTAGTGATTAAAAGCGACTGTGTGGGTGCTGGGGAATGAACCCAGGTTCTCTGTGAGAACAGCAAGTGCTCTTCACTGCTAAGTTTTCTGTCCAAAACAAAATCACATTTTTTTCATTTTAGTTTATGTGTTTAGGTGCTTTGCCTGCATGAATATCTGTGTATTACCTGTGTGTGTAGTGCCCAAAGAGGCCAGAAAAGGGCAATAGATCTTCTTGGACTCGAGTTACAGAGGTTGTATGTTGTCATGTGAGGGCTGGGAATTGAACCCAGGACTTCTGGAAGAGCAACCAGTGTTCTTAATTGCTGAGCAATCTCTCCAGCTCCAAGATACATATTTTATATTAAATGTTATAACTTTGATTAAAAACATGCAATAAAATTTAAGTAGCCTGTGAGTTCCAGATTCAATGGGATGCCCTGTCTCATAAAATAGGTTACACATTGACTCTGTAGACCCATAAACACTGTACATGCATGAACATGTACATGTATACATATGCATAAGAGACTCTCCAAGCAAAATACAATTTGCGTACAAGCAGTTGAAATACAATTTTGTTCTGAAAAATCATATTTTGGAGCTGTAGGTGTGGCTCCATTATTCAGAGTGCATACTGATCTTTTAGAGGACACAGGTTCAGTTCCCAGCACCCATGTCAGCTACCTGTAACTCCAGCCTTCTCTTAGATTCTGCCCATGTGTGCACAAATCCATATGAGCACACACACACACACACACACACACACAACTTAAAGTAATAAAATATTTTAGAAATTAAAAAGTCATATTTTGACTTGAGGGATGACTTAGTGGTAGAGCATATGCTTAGCATATACAACACTTGCTTTAAAAAAGTCATTCATTTTATACCTAGAAAAGGTTAAAACATAGGGCTGGGGAGATGGCTCAGCAGAAGACCTGAGTTTGGTACCCAGCACCCACATGGTAGCTCAGTCTTCTGATCTCTGCAGGCCCTGCATACATGTAGTGTACATATGTGCACTCAGGTACATACATATAATATTACATATGTAAAATAAAGGTTATGACTTTCTGTTAGTTTATTTTAAAACTATTATATTACATACATTTACTGTGGGCAAGTGTACATGCATACAGGTTTACTAACATGCCACAGCCCATGCTGAAGTCAGAGGACTACTTGTGTGAGACAGTTCTTTCTGTCTACCATGCGGGTCCTGGGAATTGAACTTAGGTCGTGAGGCTTGAGGGTAAGCACTGCTATTGATGATGTTTTTTTTTTTTTTTGGCTTTACGAGACATGGTTTCTCTGTATTGTTTCTGAGGCTGTTGGTCCAGCCTGCCCTCGAACTCACAGAGATCCGCCTGCCTCTGCCTCCCGAGTGCTGGGATTAAAGGCGTGAGCCAGCCCCGCCCAGCCTTGATGATGTTTAATACAACATAATGGTGTACTTTGGTGCCTTACCCAGAAAAGACTTTCACTTAAGTATTATTCCTAAGCATTATGAAGGCTGCAAAGTATGATTTGAATGAGTTCTAGTTACTGCTCCAAGGAAGGGGCAGAGTGGGAAATGTGAACAAGTATAAAGGCATTATTAAAGCCAAGAGAATGTTCTGCTCATCTGTATTGTTGTTTTTTTCCTCTTCCCTCTACCCCTTATCTTTTTGGATTTGGGATCTCCTTCTTATCTTGCTCAGGCTGGCCTCTAACTTCTAGGCTCAAGCGATCCTCCTGCCCTGCTTCTCCAGTTGCTGGGACCACAGATATGTTATACCACCCAGCTTTGGACTAGTCATAGGAAGCTGGACGCAGGTTTAGTTTCTGCCTAAAAGTACAATTGGGATGGAACCTATTTTTCAGCACTGGGCCTCAGATCCAGGGCCTTATATTTGCTAGACATGCTGTCTATGGCAGAACCACACAGACAGCACAAAGACATGGGCTTTTTAAGTTTTTGTTAAATTTGTTTAGATTTTATTATTTTAAATGTATGAGTATTTTGCATGCATATGTATATGTGTACCACATGCGTGTCTGGTATCCGAGGAGGTAGTGAGCCACACACAGTGTGGGTCCTAGGAATTGAACCTGGTCCTTTATTTTATTTTGTTTTATTTATTATATTTGGGTTTTGTTGCTGTAGACAGAGTTTCTCTGTGTAACAGTCCAGGCTGTCCTAGAACTCGCTTCGTAGACTAGACTGGCCTCCAACTCACTGAGATCCGTCTGCTTCTGCCTCCCAAGTACTGAGATTAAAGGTGCACACCACCACTGCCCTTTTTAAATTATTATATTCATACTAATGTGTATGGGCATTTTCCTTTCAAGTGTGCATGCCTAGTACCAAGGAGGGCAGCAGAGGGTGCTGGGCCCACTAGAATTGGAGTTATGGACCGTTGTAAGCCACCATGTACTGAGAACTGAACTCCAGTCTCCTGCAAGAGCAGCATGTGCTCTTTAGTCTACTGAGCCATCTCAGCCCTGCAAAGACATGTCTTATTTCAGGGTTTGACTCCGGCTGCAGGACCAAAAAAGCACTACTGAAGTCAAGGGTTAGGACTTTGTTTTTAAGATTTATTTTTTACTATGTACACAGAGTTCTTCCTGCATGTATGCCTGCAGACCAGCAGAGGGTGCCAGATCTCATTATAGATGGCTGTGAGCCACCATGTTGTTGCTGGGAGTTGAACTCAAGACCTCTTGAAGAGTAGTCAATACTCTTAACCTCTGAGCCATCTCTCCAGCCCTGGAACAGGACTTTGAAATGATTTTATTAGCTGTCTTTGTGAAGCTGAAACCATAATCTGTAAGTTTTGATTGGTTAGATACATAAGTAACAATTTTGTTGTTGTTTAGGAAGAAGCTGCCCCCAAAACTTTGCTGGAAAACCTTTTAAAATGTGTGCAGTGCTGCCCTATCTTGAAAAGTGGCATGTGACTTACACAGTTTACTCTCCATGTGCTTCATGTAAGTACATCAGCTTGCATGTACCAGTCAAATAAAAACATATAGATGAAATCCTTTCTAACATTTTGGTTTTGGTTTTATGTTATTTTTATAAAAGTACCAGAATAATATATTTCTTTCTGGAAATACAGAGTAAGGAATTGTGTTTAATTTATTCTTAGCTCAGAAAATAATTTTGATTATATTACTAAATACCTAAAATACATTTTTAAAGATTTATTTATATATTATGTATACAGTGTTTTGTCAGAAAAGGACACCACGCCGGGCGTTGGTGGAGCACGACTTTAATCCCAGCACTCGGGAGGCAGAGGCCGGCGGATCTCTGTGAGTTCGAAGTTAGCCTGATCTACAGAGTGAGTTCCAGCACATTCCCCAAAGCCAACAAGAACAGGCTGCTGTTAAGCATGTCGTATATGGACTAGATCTTGGTCATAAACTCCATGACACTGGCCTATGATAAATGTATAAGGTGAGGATAAAGTATAGATATTACTAGTAATTGTAATTGAACATTGCTACAACATTTAACTGCTTTTAAGTTGTAGTCTATGAGAGTATAGTTCTGTAAAGCATTAGATGTAAAGAAGACAAAATTCAGATATCTGGCCCTGTAGTTGTTAATCATCTTTTTTGTGTACAATCTTGAATTAAAGCATATATACATATATATAAGCAGATGTGTCTAGAAGTTGTAAAAATGTACATTTTTGTATGAGTTATAAAAATGTACATTTTTGTATGAGTTATATCGGTGTGCATTATCCTAAAATTGTTGATTTATCTTATAGCATATTGCTTGCAGACAGTTATTGAAGATAACCCAGAACTCCTAAAGTATATGGATGCAGCACTGCATGTGCTGGAGTCTGCTTTGCTTTGTCCTGCTACCTCTATGGAATACATTGTGCTAAAGACACTGGTAGCAGGTAAGGTTCATCCAAATGTCTAGTAGCTTGTAATGGATAGAAGTGGGGGACAAGATTTACTCTTCCTTCATTTTACAGTGCCAGCTCTGTGCTCTGTCTGGTCTGAAAAACCTTAGTATCAGAGCACAGAGACCTTTTTGGGGGCAGGGGTTTTCAAGGCAGGGTTTCTCTGTGTAGCTCTGGCTGTCCTGTAAGGCTGGCCTCCAACTTACAGAGATCCTCCTGGCTCTGCCTCCTGGGTGCTGGGATTAAAGGTGGGCACCACTATGCCCAGCGAGCAGAGAACCTCAACTGACCTGGTTTCCCATAGTTATGGAGCCTTCTAGAATATGTTTGCATTTATAAAAAATTGTTTCTTTTGGATTTTTTTGTTTGTTTTTTCAAGACAGGATTTCTCTGTAGCCCTGGCTATTTTGAAATTTGATCTGTAGACCAGACTGACCTCAGACTTTGAGGTCTGTTTGCCTTTGCCTCCAGAGAGCTAGGATTAAAGGTGTGCACCACCACTGCCCTGCTTATCTTTTTTATTAATATAGGTGTGTGCAGTTGTGTGAACTTACCCCACATGGTATAACACAAAGCATGTTGTTGCCTAGCCGAGTTTCAAGATCTCTTCATCCTCCAAAATGAGACTTTATTCTCTAAATGAGAACCTTTCCTAACTCTGCTCCCCCTCCTTGGTTTTCTGAGCCTTTAGACAAGGCATTTGTTGGTGGGATTTTATTTTTTGTTCCTTTGAGACAGTGTCAGTATGTAGTTCTGGCTGCCCTGGAACTTATATGTAGACCGTACTGGGCTCAAGCTTACCAGGATCCATCCACCTCTGCTTCCTGAGTATTGGGATCAAAGGTGTGTGCTACCATGCCTGGCTCATTAGTTTCATTTTAAATGAATGCAAACATTCTGGAAAAGAAAATGGTAATGCATCGTAAGACATATATACATACATTTGTTTGTTTATTTTTGTTTTGTGTTTTGCTTTTTGAGACAGGGTTTCTCTATAGCTTTGGAGCCTGTCCTGGAACTCACAAAGATCTGCTTGCCTCTGTATCTCCAGTGCTGGGACTAAAGGTGTGTGCCATCACTACTCAACTTAGATACATGTTTAACTTTGGACCTAGTATGAGGAAATAAGATACATACATACATACATACATACATGCATACATACATACATACACACATACATACATACATACACACATACATACATACATACACACACATACATACATACATACATACACACATACACACATACATACATACATACATACACACACATACATACATACATACATACACACATACATACATACATACATACATACATACATACACACACATACATACATGCACACATACATACATACATACATACATACATACACACATACACACATACATACACACATACACACATACACACATACATACATACATACATACATACACACATACATACATACATACATACACACATACACACATACACACATACATACACACATACACATACACATACATACATACATACATACACACACACATACATACATGCATACATACATACATACACACATACATACATACATACACACATGCACACATACATAGCATGGACATACATACCCAGTGAATATGTGCTCTAAGTCAGACACCACACATTCTGACCAGACAGAGCTACAGAGCTGGGACATCTTTAAATTCTGAACAACATGTGATACAATGTTGGATCCGATGAGATTTTTGCTAGTTTACTTAATTGCATTTAGTGCTGAGGATCAGACCCAGGGTTTTGCACATTCTTGGCAAGCACTTTAACACTGAGTTACATCTCCAACCCTCTTAGTTAAGTGTAATTTATTTACACACACACACACACACACACACACACACACACACACAGAATTATATAACTTATAGGATACTGACAAGGGCAGATGCAGTTTTCCTCCAGGTGTTTCTGGTCTTGGTTTGGTTAGGTGGTCATAGTAGGGTGTGTCTGTGTCCCAGATACTTAGGCTGAGACAGGAAGGTTGAGCCCTGGAATTTGAGCCCCTCCTTCCCTTGACACTACAATATAGTAAGAATTTTTAACAAGGAAAAAAAGATGGAAATTCATTAACACCATGACTATAGAACCTGGAGGTATGGAAGAGTGGCTATAATCTAAAATATTCACATCAATGGAATGTTTGTTTAGTTATAGTAGATCCAATTAGTGAAATTTTATTTAGTCATTAAAAACAGTTTGAATTTGTAAACAACAAAGTACATGTCATTTTCAAGGTTATGCCACTCACCATAGGATATCAGTGTGGCTGATTTTTTACAGGCAATTTAAGAATTAAGGTTTAGGCCGGGTGGGAGTAGCACATGCCTTTAATCAAAGTACTCAGAGGCAGAGGCAGAGGTAGGCAGATCTCTGTGAGTTCGAGACCAGCCTGATGTACAAGAGCTAGTTGGACACTAATAAAAAAACTGATATGAAAGATACCTGATTTTTCTTATTTATTTTTATTTCTTTAGTCTACTGACAAGGAACTGAGAGACATCATGGCATTGCTGGCAGCTCAGCAGACTGCTCTGGAAGTTATTGTCAACATGTGCTGCAGTGAAGGTTTGCTCCCAATGTACACTGGACATTCCCCCACCTGGCTCCCACTCCTCATACCAAGGGCAGCTTCCGTGAGAGTTTCTTTGATACCCCAGTAATGTCTTGTTTGCCCCTTTTTCCTCAGATCTCTCTGATGATGAATGGTAAGAGCTTTGTAGTAGTGATGAAAGTGAAGCCTTTATGGAAAACTCCTTCAATGAGTGCAGTGGGCAGCTGCTGTCCCATGAGATTCACACTGCTCTTACCAACTGCCTCATCCCAAAGAAGGTAATCTAGTTTTACCCTGGCCTCCGGTTGGGGAGTCGGAATGGCTGGTGGGAGCCGTTTACTTGCAGAGCAGAAACTGGCAGCTTGGGTGTAAAGCAGAACTGACAGAACTAGAAATGCACACGTGCTCTGACCCTGCTAATTTGTAAACTAAGAGAAAAGTCTCATTTAAGACAATTTCCCTTCTATCTTTTCCTGTTTCCATTTCAAACCTGGGTTTTTGAGAAAACTGCTTCACCAAACAGTATTGCTGTTGACATATGATCTAGGAACCCTACTTGGAAAACTTTGATTAAAAAGTAAGAACTTGTCAGTGTTCAGAAACAAAAACATCATTTTGTCATTATGTGAAGTGTTGTAATATTGACTAGAAAATGCTCCCAAGACCAGCCAGGAGAAGTTTGTGCCCAGTGTGCTTGGATACCAGTGTGAGAATGAATATTCACAGCAGTGTGGGTCATAGTTGTCCCAACTTGGAAACAGCCTCGATGTCTGTTCATGGTCATATGGAACCACTCACAACACAGCAGAATTTACTGTGTTGACCAGAATGAATAAGACATAAAAAGTGTATTCTGTGGTTCCATTTTCACAAAGCACACATCTAAGCACACTCAGGACACATGCCAAGTGGCTCCCCTATGAAGAAGCAAGAAAGAAACCAGACCTGGGGTGGGGATCTGTAATCTCAACTGCACAGGGCTGATCATAAGTTCAGGAAGCTTATTGAGACCCTGTCTTCAGATATTTTCAAAAGTCAAAAGTGGCCAAGTTCAGGGTAGAGTGCTTGTCTAGTATGAATGGTGCCTTGGGATCAGTCCCTGGGACAGCAAACTATAAATTCAAATGAAAAAATAAAAGCAAGGAGTTTGCTATTCAAGGCTGAATAGAGACTTATGACTTACAGTGAGGTGCACTCATAGCCCTTGAGTTCTCAGGTACTTTGATTGTCAGATTAGCAGGTCACATTATTCTTTGTGACCAGATCCCCTTGAACTTGTAGGTACTCTTAATCTGAAGTTTACACATGGAGGCTCATAAGTCTAATCCCTGTATTCAAGAGGATCACAGAGTCAAAGCCAATGCAGACTTGACAGTGAGCTCCAGGATAGCCTGGGGTACAAGGCAAGATGCTACACCAAAGTCAACAGTAATGGTAGTAAAAATCACTTGACCCATAGAATTCCAGTGTACTAGTTTACAGAAACAACGCTGTTCACTTTCTTTGCAGATTGAACACTATTCAGTGTAGAGCCCTTATGTGCTTCCAGAGTCTTGTGTCTCTCCTGGACATGGACCATCTTGGAGGAGCCCCAGATCTTCTGACACTTGCACAGCACCTGACGCAACTTCTTTTTCTCAGCCTGGTAAATATTTAGAAATTACTGTGAAAGACATAGAAATGTAAATATATTAGTAATAGTAGTGAAAGACATTACAACTTAGACATAGCAGAACGTTGAAGGATAGTGACTTGAACTCTATAGATTGAGTATTATCTTATTTATCCTGCAGAAACCTTTCCCAGACTCAATCAGCCATGTATTATCATTGCCAATGACAATCAAGGGGTGACAGTAGGTTTGTGTGTTGTGTGTGTGTGTGTGTGTGTGTGTGTGTGTGTGTTTTAAAATTAATGTCAATCTGGGCAGTGATGACCTATGCCTTTAAACCAGCACTTGGGAGGCAGAGACAGGCAGATCTCAGTGAGTTCCAGTACAGCCAGGGATACACAGACAAGCCCTGTTTTTTATTTTAAAGATAAAAAATCCTGTCTGGAAAATGAACAGAATAAAAAATTAATGTCAAGCCAATTAAAATAAGTCATATGTATCAGGTTCTTATTAGGATATTTGAGTAGTTCTTGTATTCTTTTTTAGGATTTTATACATGAATACTATATCTGCTATTGTTTCTACACCCCAATACCTCCTGTCTTCCCCTTATCACCCTCTCTTGAATTCATGATCCCTTCTATAGTTATTCCTATTACAAACTCACCAAGAACATAGGCACACAACCCTCCCATTACAAACACACCAAGAACATAGGCACACAACCCTCCCATTACAAACACACCAAGAACATAGACACACAACCCTCCCATTACAAACACACCAAGAACATAGGCACACAACCCTCCCATTACAAACACACCAAGAACATAGGCACACAACCCTCCCATTACAAACACACCAAGAACATAGGCACACAACCTTCCCATTACAAACACACCAAGAACATAGGCACACAACCCTCCCATTACAAACTCACCAAGAACATAGACACACAACCCTCCCATTACAAACTCACCAAGAACATAGGCACACAACCTGCCTGCACCCCCCCCAGTACTGGGAGTTAAAGGTGTGTACCACTGTGCCCAGCTTCTTGAGGGTATCATGCTGGCCCTGTCGTTGTGGTTTTCAGTCTTTACAGCTCTCTAGGGCTGTGGATAACATTTCCCCCTCAGCAGCTTGCATGGCACCCTCAGCACTGTGAGAGCCAGCCTTCAGGACAGAGGCTTCCTGGTAAGCACCAGGTTTATCTCTCCTAAGTTCGGTGAGTGCAGTATGTGGTGTCTTCAGCCATAAGGTCCACCTTGGTGTTCTGGCAGGCAACCAAGAGAATGGCAGTAGTCCATATTTTTTTGGAGATTTCCTGTGCCTCCCCCAATCCTATTCCTTTTTGGGGGTGGGTTTGAGACAGGGTTTCTTTGTGGTTTGGAGGCTGTCCTGGAACTAGCTCTTGTAGACCAGGCTGGCTTCGAACTCACAGATATCTGCCTGCCTCTGCCTCCCGAGTGCTGGGATTAAAGGTTTACACCACCAACGCCCAGCTCCCAATCCTACGCTTATAATTGAAATTTAATTGGGCAATACACATACAGTATGGAGGACAACAGCTAGGGAGAAGGTGAGGTGGGCAGCCTCCTTCCTTTCCATTCCACCCAGTTCTCAGAGGTGTCGTTAATACACTAGTTCCATTTAAGCAGCTGCTTCCAGAGAGATTGATTCTCTAGAGATGAGATAGACCTAGGGAGGGGGCAGTAGACATGAATGCTGTAATACCAGGAACAGTTCTATACCTGGCTTTTGTCTGACATGTCTTTATTTAAACACCTTGGCTTGTAAAGAACTGAGTCTCTTTAGTTACATGTCTCCGTCTTTAATTTCTGTGACAGTGCCATATCTTCTGACAATTAAGCTTAAATGACAGAAGTACCATTTAAACAACTGCTCAAAATTGTTTTGTTTTTTGTTTGTTTGTTTTATTCGAGACAGAAATTCTCTGTGTAACATCTCTGGCTGTCCTGGAAATCAGTTTGCTGTCTAGACTGGCCTCAAACACAGAGATCCATCTGCCTCTGCCTCTTGAGTTCTGGGATTAAAGGCATGTGTCACTGCACCCAGCTCAAATATTTTAGTTAATCAAAATAAAATGTGAATCATACAATGTGCAAACTTTTAAAGACCTTTTAAAGAATACTTTCGCATCAGTTTTGGAGTATCCGTTGGACACCAGGCTTTAAGAAATGTGGGGGAGCTCTAGTAAGCCCATTGTTTAGCACGTGTTTCTTGACCTCTGTCTATGTCACATACCACCTAAGTCCTAGGGATAATGAGGAAAGAATGGTGTAAGGTGCTGTGTTAAATGTAAGGGGCTCTCTGGAGAGAGAGAACCTTTGAACTGGGATCACAATGAAATGAAACAGATCACATGTCATGTAGGATTTTGTCCAAAGTGTGTCTGATCCTAAGGTTGACCTATTGTCTGTTGTCCTGTAATAATTACAGGAATTCCCTTCTTTGGTACATACAATATCTGAAAATGAAAAGCCAAATGATATAAGCTTTGGTAATAATTTGTGGGGAGCTGGTAAGATGACTCCACATATTAAAATTTTTTCATATACAAACCTGAGAGCCTGAGTTAGATTCTTGGATCCCAGTGTGGAAAGATTTCTGAGTGTTGTGCTTTGGCCTCCATGGAGATATATACACATATACAGCTGAACTTACATGGTAATGATAAATAAAAATTTTACAATTATGGACCTGACATGGATTGCATCTTTTGTAATCCCAGCACTTGTAAGGCTGAGGCAGGAGAATTTAGAGTTGAGGCCATCCTGGACTATAAGGAGACCCTGTTATAAGGTAATTGTGTGAGGCTATCCATCTTCCTCAGGCAACGTAAGAGGTGGTTTTAGAAATGGAACAGTGTCCCAGGCACACAGAGCAATAAACCATGGCATCTGCTGCTATTTAACAAGTCTGCCCCAAACTTTATGACTGAAGCAATAAGCTGCATGTGATTGGGTATACAGTTCAGTCTCTGTGTCTCAGGAACCTGAGACAGGAGGAGCCTGAGTCCTGAGTTCTAAAGCAGGCAGAGCACCACATGCTGCCCTGTCTCATGGTTATTCTGAGTCTCTCTATGCCTGGAACACAGGCAGAATGGGGGAGTTGATTTGTCTCCATTCTACAATGTCTGTAGGCAGTAATTCTCCACAAGGGGCAATTGCTCCTCTTGTGGAGGACATTTGGTAATGTTTGAAGATATTGTAAATGGTTGCTAGCTGTCCTGTGGTTGCTCCTGATATGCAACAAGTGTGTGTGTGTGCATGTGTTTGTCAGTGTTTTCTCGCCACAGCATGGCATGGCGCTCCTGTGGAGGCCTGCTGTGGAGGCTAGAGCTCAGACCCTCCAGCTTGAGTGGCCCTTCTTGGAGCC